AAACCCACCATAAACGGAGACCTGACCCAGGCTGTTTCACGCTGTGAGGGGAAGCCGCACCACCTGACGGAGCAGGGCCAGGCAACCTCGAACCGCCCCGGACCCAGTAGAGCTTCCCCAGCGCTGGGGACGGTAGTGGGGCAGAACGACGAGAGCCAGGAAGGGAGCCCGGGCCGCTCGCAGGCCGAACCTCTCCCCCTCTTATACTGTCAAAGCTTTTTCCTCAATTTCTTTGGCAGCAGAGTGCAGGCCACAGTTTGCTTTTACTTGAAGGGGCGTCCAGTACACTTGTAACTGAATGCCCCAGGGGTGGAAACCCAGTCCTACCCTCTGCCATGGACTGACCCAGCCTGCACTGGAACAGGGGCAAGTTCCTGAATACCTGCAATACACTGATGATATTATAATGTGGGGTGATACAGCAGAAGATTTTGAGAAAGGGAGAAAAAGAATCCAGATCCTGCTAAAAGCCGGTTTTGCCATAAAACAGAGTATTTTCAAGGGACCTGCACAGGAGGTTCAATTTCTGTGAATAAAATGGCAGGATGTACATTGCCAGCTCCCCATAGATGTGATCAACAAGGTAACAGCAATGTCTCCACCAAGTAATAAGAAACACCAGCTTTCTTGTGTGTTGTAGGGTTCTGGAGAATGCTCACCCCAAATTACAGTCCTATTGTAAGCCCTCTCTATTATGTGACATGGAAGAAGAATGATATTAAATGGGGCCCTGAGCAAAAACAAGCCTTTGAAGAAATTAAAGAGAGAGCTCCTATAGTAGCCCTTGGACCAGTCCGGACCGGGCCAGATGTAAAAAATGTGCTTTACACCTCAGCTGGGTAGAATGGTCCTACCTGGAGACTCCAGCAGAAAGCTCTAGGGGAGACTTGAGGTCAACCCCTCAGCTTTTGGAGTTGGGGATACAGAGGATCTGAGGCCAGCTATACCCCAACTGAAAGAGATACTGGCAGACTATAAAGAGGGTTGAGCTGCTTCCGAAGTGATTGGCACTGAAGCACAGCTCCTCCTGGCACCCCGGTTGCCCCTGCTGAGCTAGATGTTCAAAGGCAGGGTTACCTCTACACATTATGCAATCAAGGCTACTTAGAGTAAGTGGGCTGCACTAATCACACAACAAGCTCAAACTGAAAATCCTCATCATTCAGGACTTCCAGAAGACATCACGGACTGGCCAAAGGGCAAAGATTTTGGAACATCACTTGAGGAGGAGGTGATGCATGTTGAAGAGGCCCCACGATATAATAAACTGTCAAAGTGAGGAACAATATGCCTTCATTACTGAAGGGTCCTGCCCTATTCTGGGAAAGCATTGGAGATGGAAGGCAGCTGCATGGAGTCCCTGAAGACAAGTTGCAGAACCTGCTGAATGAGAGGGTGAATAGAGTCAGTCTGCAGAGGTGAAAGCCATCCAGCTGGCCTTGGACATTGCTGAATAAGTATAGCAGCCAGTACTCTATACTGACTCATGGATGGTGGCAAATGCCCTGTGAGGGTGTTTGCAGCAATGGAAGCAGAGCAACTGGCAATGCAGAGGGAAGCTCACCTGGGCTGCTTCACTGTGGCAAGATACTGCTGCCTGGGTGCAGAACCTGGTGGTCAATGTAAGCCATGTAAATGCTCATGAACCCAAGAGTCGGGCCACTGAGGAACACCAAAACAACCAACAAGTGGATAAAGCTGCTAAGACTGAAGTGGCTCAGATGTGTTTACATTGGCCTGAGTTGTCATGAGACCTCAGGGCTAAAAATAATTCACCCTTATACTGCCATCAGGGCAGAGATGCAACATATAGAGAGGCTCGTGATTGAGGGGCAGACTTAACAATGGATACTGTTGCTCAGATAATTCATGAATGTGAAACGTGCTGCAATTAATCAAGCCAAACAGTTAAAGCCTCTTGGGCAAGGAGGACAATGGCTGAAGTACAAATACAGAATCATAGAATAGTTAGGGTTGGAAAGGACCTTAAGATCATCGAGTTCCAACCCCCCTGCCATGGGCAGGGACACCTTACGCTAAATCATATCACCCAAGGCCTCGTCCAACCTGGTCTTGAACACTGCCAGGGATGGAGCATTCACAACCTCCCTGGGCAACCCATTACAGTGCCTCACCACCCTAACAGGAAAGAATTTCCTCCTTATATCCAACCTAAACTTCCCCTGTTTAAGTTTTAACCCGATACCCCTTGTCCTACCACTACAGTCTCTAATGAAGAGTCCCTCTCCAGCATCCCTATAGGCCCCCTTCAGATACTGGAAGGCTGCTATGAGGTCTCCACACAGCCTTCTCTTCTCCAGGCTGAACAGCCCCAACTTCCTCAGCCTGTCTTCATACGGAAGGTACTTCAGTCCCCTGATCATCCTCGTAGCCCTTCTCTGGACTTGTTCCAACAGTTCCATGTCCTTTTTATGTTGAGGACACCAGAACTGCACACAATACTCCTGGTGAAGTCTCACAAGAGCAGAGTAAAGGGGCAGGATCACCTCCTTCGACCTGCTGGTCACACTCCTTTTGATGCAGCCCAGGATACGGTTGGCTTTCTGGGCTGCAAGCACACACTGCCGGCTCATGTTCATTTTCTCAACCAACACCCCCGAGTCTTTCTCCACTGGGCTGCTCTGTATCTCTTCTTTGCCCAACCTGTAGCTGTGCCTGGGATTGCTCCGACTCAGGTGTAGGACCTTGCACTTGGCATGATTAAACTTCATGAGGTTGGCATCAGCCCACCTCACAAGCGTGTCGAGGTCCCTCTGGATGGCATTCCTTCCCTCCAGGGTATCAACCGAACCACACAGCTTGGTGTCATCAGCAAACTTGCTGAGGGCACACTCAATCCCACTGTCCATGTCGCCAACAAAGATGTTGATTAAGACTGGTCCCAACACCAATCCCTGAGGGACACCACTCATTACTGGTCTCCAGCTGGACATTGAGCCATTGACCACAACTCTCTTGTGTGCGGCCATCCAGGCAGTTCTTTATCTACCGAGTGTTCCATCCATCGAATTGATGTCTCTCCAATTTAGAGACAAGGATGTCGTGTGGGACAGTGTCAAATGCTTTACACAAGTCCAGGTAGGTGATCTCAACTGCTCTACCCCTGTCCATCAGTTCTGTAGCCCCATCATAGAAGGCCACCAAATTGGTCAGGCAGGATTTCCCCTTAGTGAAGCCATGCTGGCTGTCACCAACCACCTTGTTGATTTTCATGTGCCTTAGCATGCCATCCAGGAGAATCTGCTCCAAGATTTTGCCAGGCACAGAGGTGAGACTGACTGGTCTGTAATTCCCCGGGTCATCCATTTTCCCCTTCTTGAAAATGGGGATTATATTTCCCTTTTTCCAGTCAGTGGGAACTTCACCTGTTCTGTTTTTCCAAATATGATGGCCAGTGGCTTAGCAACTTCATTCGCCAGCTACTTCAGGACCCGCGGATGGATCTCATCAGGACCCATTGACTTGTGCACGTTCAGATTTTTAAGATGGTCTCGAACCATATGGGGAGGCCTGGCAGATTAACAGTATCACACTCCCACGGAAGTGCCAAGGCAAGCGCCATGTGCTTACCATAGTGGAAGCAACCACTGGATGGCTGGAAACATACGCTGTGCCCCATGCCACTGCCTGGAACACTGTCATGGGCCTTGAGAAACAAGTCTTGTAGCGACACAGCAAACCAGAAAGAATTTAGTCAGACAAAGGGACTCATTTCTGGCATTAACTTATAGACATTTGGGCCAAAGAGCATGGCATTGAGTGGGTATATCACATCCCCTACCAAGCACCAGCCTCTGGGAAAATCAAACGGTACAATGGGCTGTTAAAAACTACACTGAGAGCAATGAGTGGTGGGACTTTCAAACACTGGGATACACATTTACCAAAAGACACCTGGCTGGTCAACACCAGAGGATCTGCCAACATGGCTAGCCCAGCCCAGTCAGAACTTCTACGCACTGTAGAGGTGGGTAAAGTTCTTGTGGTGCACATAAAAAATTTGCTGGGGAAGACAGACTGGGTTATTCCCGCTTCAGGTAAAGTCAAATCTACTCGTGGGAATGCTTTTGCTCGGAAATCCGGATATACTTGGTGGGCAGTGCAGGAAGATGGGGAAGTCTAGTGTGTACCTCAAGGGGATTTAATTTTCAGGTAAAACAACCAATTATCTCAATTTTATGCTATTACCTGCTATAAAAGATTTCAACAGCCCATCAGCTAGATGCCTTGAGGTCAGCAGCAGCTGGCCCTGACTTCCCTCCAGTTATCATCCCAACAAAGAATAAACTTTGACGAAACCAGACAATTTCAGCAGTGACCAGATGAGTTCCACGGTTTGAGCATCAGGCAACAATTCAACATTGCACAGTCTCCCCTGCTCTGAAAGACTATTACAAGAGATGGAGCCCAACATCATGGATCAGATGACTTCAGCAGCTTTATAGGGATTGGTTCGTGGAGTAAGGAATGCTATCTGTGTGTGTGGGGGGAGGTGTGTATATATATGCTTGTGCGTGTATATATATGTATGAGGCAAAAGCAATGGTATATTGAAAAACGTGGCATCTGAGCATGACATGAATGGTATGGAATAAGGGTTGGATACTGTCCTGGGTTCAGCAGTAGCAGTCATTTTTGTCCTTCTTAGTAGCTGGTGCAGTGCTGTGTTTTTGACTTTCAGCCAGGGAAGAACACTGATAACACCGATGTTTTTAGTTGTTGCTAAGTAATGTTTACTCCGATCAAGGACTTTCTCAGTCTCATGCTCTGCTAGAGAGGAGAGGAAGCCGAGAGGGAGCAGAGACAGGACACCTGACTGGTGTTACTAGCTGGGCTTAAACCATGACATGCCAAGTCAAATTCTAGCCAGTTTTGAGCTTTCAGAGCATGGATTACCATATAAAACCTCCCATCGCAAAAAAAAAAAAAAAAAAAAAAAAAAAAATCTTGACTTCCCTTGTCCAGGAATATTTTCAGTTTAAACATCCACACTCCAACAACTGTTCTGGTTCTCTCCCTGGCAATAACCACCACTGTGGCTGGCATCAAATACTTATCATTTCCAGTTGGGAATGCCTGGGGCCTTACACTCTCCTTTAAGCATCAGACACCCTGGGTTTGTCATCACCATTACATTTTACATGATTTTGCAAGTCTGGGATCAGAAGTAAACCATCTATCAATAATTTAGTAGTAAAATAATTCTGGAAACAATGTTAAGTGTGATGGGAATGCCCGTATCAAAAAGAAGCAACTAAATAATCCAAGTAGTAAATATCAGGTGGAACACCACCACATTTTACAATACTGAGTTCTGTAAAGGTACAAAGTATTCTGATGGGCTTCTTTTATTTTCACCCAGAACAGTGCAATTACTTACCAGCAAATACGTTATACAATGCAGTCACAGGCACACACACAGAACAAATCCAGTTGTGTTGGATCACAATAAAATACTAAGTAATGAGAGAATAACATCAAGCTGTGATAAGAAGTAATTAATTTAAACACGAACTCCGGATAGAGTTCAATAGTTTGACTGGAAACTGCAGTCCAAACCCAATAAACTGCATTTCCTTCAAGCAACAGTTTAAATGTTAATAAAGGAAGGAAGTCTAAAGTAAAATAAAGGAAATGACCACTTTCTGAATAAGATCAAGACTCAAATGTTATTTATATCCCAGCAGTACAACTTCTCTGAAGAATTAAGTTATAAACAGGCTTAACAGAAGCCCTGGAGTTGTGAAGTTGCAAGAGCTTAGTTCTTTTTTATAAGACTGCACATTTGGGCACTGTCATCTGTCAAGGTCTGTCACTTCATTGACCAGTTTAAAAGATACATGCAGTTAGATCAATGTGGACCTAATAAATTATTGAAAATATGCAAAACAGCCTGCAATAACAAGTCCAATACCTGATTTCTTGACTGTACTTTGCACTCCGCCAGAACTGGGACTCCCAGGAGAGCCAGTCTTTTTGCTCAAGAGACTGTTAAAGAAACTAGCCAAGACACCTTCACTTGCAGCATTACCTGAGTAAAAGAAAAAAAAAAATATATATATATATAATCACAGAATAGTTATTGCTGGTAAATGATATAACTTCTTACATACATACATAACTCTTACCAGTCAAGGAAATAAACCTCAAATATGAGAGTCTCTCCTTGCTCAATTTAAAGACACTAGTCCTTTGCATTCTTTAACAAAGTCAGAGATGACTGAAAGCATATTACTACTCTTCTGGAATGGAGAGTTGCCACAAAACTTTAATCTATTTGCATGCTTTTGTTTTTTTCTAAATGTAGTAGCTAAGAAGCGAAGTATTAAGTATGTTTAGGCAACTTAAGGAAATAATGTATTCTGAACTCCGACTGCTCTATTTCAAGTCACATGAATGACAAAAAAAAAACAAAAAAAAAACCAAACCTGAAGCTATGTCATAAATTCCTGTTATTAAACTAAGCCAAAATATTTCTACAAAAGAGGATTTAAAAAACAAAAAACCAAAAACCAACAACAAAACAACACATGATAAAACCAGTAAAATGCTTATTCATACTTTTAATATTTGGATCTGGTTTCTTAACTGATGTTATTGGTGAAGCACTGGGTACATTAGTGGGACCAGCTCTGCCTTGAGTTCTTGGGGATCCTGCAGGGCCTCTTGCAGAAGATTCCTTAAAACAAGTAAAAATCACACAAATCATAGAACTTAAATGGAGTAAATATATAAAGCAAATGTAACACTACACACAAATTACTTTTTAAACCTTTATATTTGCACCGTAGTGTACGCAAAATAGGGAAAACAAACAAAAAATAACACCAGTTATTTTCAGCATGTTTCTCCACTAGAAGAAAGGATGAAACACAGTAGGACGTTTTCAGTTCAGTGATCATTAGATATTTCTATGTTTCCACAGTGAATTAGAATGAAGTTATTTATAAGCAACATTTTAAGATATTGCCAACTTTTTTGTTTTTATTTCCTACAGTTTTGGGGAGGTTATATATTACACACTTTAAATTACAAAATGAAACGCTACAGGTTATAACCATTCCCCTCTTCTCTAGAAAGAAAGAGAACACCTCCTATTCTTCTCTTAGATCTACTTACTGATGCTCTTGTAGGTGTTGCTGGCTGTTTGGCAAGGAATGACTGCAAAACCAAAATATTAAAAATCAATATATTTAAGGAAATATAAAGGAATAAGATACAGTGATATTTGACATTTTTTTCCAGATATTTACAGGCTTCCTCTTTGATATCTAAATACTTACAGACTTTACCACTAGAAAACAGAGTTAAAATGAGTAAATAAGCTTCAGTCCTTTGTCTTACACAGCTGTCCCAGAACTATAAACCAGAACCACGGACACCCAACTCCGTAACCCCTACAACATTTAGAATCAACCATACAGGAAAGTGTTAATAGTTTTTTAAACAACAGAGCAGTAAAGAAAATGGCAAGATACAGCATAACTAAATTTGACACCTTAAAGTCTTTCAAATGTCTGGCTGTAAGAAAACCACAACACTAAAATGTTTTAAAAGTATTTATATTTTACAGATGAATATAGCTGTATTGCAAAATTTAAAGTTATCTTCTTGCTCTTCTCCTTTGAAATGTAAGTTATTTCTGTTATCAGCATATTTTCCTTTCAAGTTGCCAAGATACACAGCCATATTTCTACCCATATTTCTTAAAAAAAATATTTCATAATTACATCTGAATTTACAAAGCTGAAAAACGGCTATCTAGTGATTTAAATGAGGAATGAAAAACTGAAAGCACTAACAATGGAGAGCTTAAAGTGAAATCTTATTTAGTAAGGATTTATTTTCATTCATCCATTCTTACCTGCTGCTTCATAAGAAATACTTGCTCATCTTCTGCCGCCAGCTCTTTATCATGGACTAACTGTGGAACAACATATCTTGTTATTAGAGGTAAAAACTGAAACTACTGTAACTGTTTTTATGGTTTGGTGATGAAAAGGGGAGGAAAAAAAAAGGCAATTCTTTAATACTATTAAAAAACCCACAGCAAAACAGTCCTGGGTTCAGCAGTAGCAATCACTTTTTCTCCTTAGTAGCCGGTGCAGTGCTGTTTTTGACTTTCAGCCTGGGAACAACGCTGATAACACCCATGTTTTTAATTGCTGCTAAGTAATGTTTACTCCTATCAAGGGCTTTCTCAGTCACATGCTCTGCCAGGGAGGAGGGGAAGTCAGGAGGAAGCAGAGACAGGACACCTGACCCAAACTAGCCAAAGGGGCATTCCATACCACAGCACATCATGCCCAGTATATAAACTGGGGGCAGTTACACGGAAAGCCGAGATCACTGCTCAGGTCAGGCTGGGTATCAGTCAGTGGGTGGTGAGTAATTGTATCCTCTCCCCTTGTTATTTCCCTTATCATTATTATTACTGGCGGTAGCAATAGTAGTTTTGTATTATACCTTAGTTACTGGATTGGTCTTATCTCAACCCGTGGGAGTTACATTCTTTCGATTCTCCTCCCTATCCCTCTGGGAGCGGGGGGAGTGAGTGAGCAGCTGCGTGGTTCTGGGTTGCCAGCTGGATTTAAACCACAACAAAACCCAAACTTCTTTCCACATTTAAAAATAGTAACATTAAAGAAATTGTCATTAAAAAAAAAAAAATATTGTAAGTAAATGGAGTAGAGTAACATTGATACCAGCCTGTGGGTATTCTCCTAGAAAGATGAGTACTTGGTAAGTAGCCACATTCATCTAATTATTAAACTCATCGGCATCTCTTCAAAGACCTGAGATGACCTTACTCTGTAAAACCCTACACTCAATCCCTCACCCCCTCTTATCAGCCCTAACACTATTAGGTAATGAATATTTCTTATAGGTGCATGAGTTACAAAAAGGATTAAACCTTTCCCTTCCATGAAAGCTTCAAACATTTCTTCCCTTTTCTAAATACTGGGGCTTGATCTAGAAACATTAGGTGTGCACAGAAATTGTAAAAGAAGGTTTTTGATAGAAACCAGAAAACAATGTAATTTACAATTTTTCATATTATCCATTTTACACATATCCTACTCCTGTGTGCCTACAGTCACAAAGTTCACGGTAAACAGAATTTATATAGATCATTTACTGCTCTTCCCTTACTATTAATGACATTTCTTCATGTATCTTAATGCAATAGTGACAGACACTTGTTTTACAAGATTTGCCTTTACATGGTAACCTCAATGCCACCTGTGTACATATGTAAATTGTTGAAGTCCTACGTAAATTGTTGAAGTCCTACAAAGGTATTCTCCTTTTTCAAAAGGAGATTTTGCCCCATGCATTCAGAGGTTCATGTGTATGGTTATTTTTAGACTGCTTTTCATTCACTGAAGTGAATGACTTCTGTGTTTGCTTGTAGTATTTTAAACAACTGGAAAACAAAAGCCTCATGTTTCACACATTTGGATATAAAACCCCTTTATATTTAATTCAGAGTTCTTCAACATTAATAGGTATTAGCAGCCATTCAAGCAAAGTTTACGTATTTGTCAGGGTGGAGGGAAAAGTTTACCCCTTTTTACCTTTCTTATGGGAGGTTTTACAATGAAGTCCTCATATGCATCTTCTGGTTTCACTGTCATAAAATTTTCATGTAAAATGGCAATTTTATTTTCATTGTCCCAACCGGCAGGTCTATAAAAGGAAGGAAAGCTTCGCCTTTTCAGTCACAAAAAAAACACTTCTACAGAGACCATTTATTTACTGCCCTCTACAGATCAGTCCTAGTTCTCAGCTAAATTCCAAAGATACTAAGAAGCTGGAATGGTATATTCTAAGTAATATGCACCAAGTTGTTTTTTTTAACTTGGAATTTCAGACTCACATACTAAGCTTTTGAATTACACAAACCATCCAAGTTATTTTTACATGTGTTATATGAAGTACAGTGCTTAACAGCAAACAATCTGAAACCATGCTGCTAATACAATTGACTTACATAAAAACTGCATCCTTTTCTACCACTAAGGCAGGTGTGGTAAACTGAAAACCATATGTTTTATGTACAATGTACTTGTACAACAGATCAAGGTTCTTTTCCTCCTTAACTGATGTATAAATCAAGGCAGCCCCATCTGATTATTTATTTAAGGAAAATTATGTAAGATACATTTTTTAAATTATAGTAAGAATTCCAGAAAAGTAGCTAATGGAGATATTAAGACTAGACCTAATTTTGAGAAGCAGTTCAAGGCAATAGCTAAAGCCATTTAGCATTCAGGGAGAGGAAGGGGGTATAACAGGATACTTCTCGTTGACATACACAAAGTTACATGCCCTCCCAGCCACTTAAATTTGAAAAAGTCAAAAACTTAGGAGACAGCCAAGATCTCAGGTTTACATGGAAATTGCAAGTTCTGAGGGGAAAACCAAGAAAAAAACCCTCATACAACGCAGGACAAATCCATTGTAAAGGAACAAAAGTGCCAAATCCATGTACAATTTAAAATCATCCATCAACTTCAAAACAACAAATGCTACACAGTAAATAACTAAACACCAAGCAATCTTGAAGTGCAACTTCTCAGATTAACTTTACGTGCAATTCAATATTAAAAACATATTTTCTTGCTTCCAGATTACAGCAAATCTCTTCAGTGCAGGAAAGGATACACTGTAAGCAGAATTTACGAATGTGTGACTGAATGAAGTCGAAGTGTTCTTCTCTGTAATCATGCTCCTTCTCTAGTACACTCACTGCATCGCACTGGCAGAAAGGAAGAGAAAAAAAATAGAACCATAAAACCCAGTCATTTAATTCCAGCACACCCTAAAACATATTCCTGATTATTACATACACATCACATTTACTGTGAGTCTTTGATTTTAAAATGCCACCAATAACTCAAAAGATAAAGTAATTCACATATAATTGATAAGGTTATTACCCTTTTGCAAAATTAAAAATTGACTTTTAAAATAAATCCCTTTACTATTAATCCAAAATTCATTTTGCATATCTGTATAAAGCATGCTTTCTAGAAGAAAAGTAATTAAACTTTTCCATAGTAGCAAACAGAACCAGAAACTCACTTTCGTACAAACTACCAGCACAGGAATACCAAGGTTGTGAGTCAGCACATTTTCTCCAAGTGGCAAAGAAATATGTTCATCTTCTCGGCCAGAAGAAGGGCCTCTTCTCTGCGGTGATCCTTGGTAGCCTTCTTCAGGTTCTACATACTCTTGAAACTCCTTCATAACTATCATGAAAGAGATCTTCTTCAGGCACAACAAAGGAGCTAGTTCTTTTTAAACCATAATTAATCCATAGCTAACTAGAAATCTCAACTTTTTTTTCCTTTCATAATGAGGCACTCCATGAGAACAGAACACAAGCTCAAGCCCTATGGCCCCTTCAAACAAAAAATTCTCCTCCAGCAAAACTTACAGCAAGCTAAATTAAGTGTATTTATAGCTGCAAGAGCTATAGTATGCACAAATGCACATTCCTCAACATTACTGGGGAGCTGAAAACAGAAATGTAGTTTAGCAACATAGCTTATACTCAGTGCAATTTGTACCTAGTTTGGGAAGAAAGCATGGTGAAAATGTAAATGGACCCAGAGAACACCAAGCTGAAACATCTACTCTTACAAACTGTAACTCAAGTTTATATTACTCTACATTTCTGTTGCAGGAGTCCAATGCTAGGCATATCAAAATTGCACTGCATAAATACAGACTCAAGCACTTCTAAATATTATCTGAAAAGACTCAGTTATATTCTGAAAGACTACAGTGGAGTCCAGAGGAAACTAGATGCTTTCTACATTTTCAATGTTTTAATTTTATGACAACAATGAGTATTCCCTATTGAATATTATCAGATATTCAAGCGCCTAAGAAATGGTATTAACACCATTTTGGAAGCACACTGTGACCCCCACACATACTTTATCAAAACTGGGCTGCAACTTGCAGCCTTTATGTCTTTTTTCAGAGAGAAAGCCACAGACCAGATCAATCTGCCTACTGTATGTGTCTGCTCCCAGCACAGCACTTCCTGAAGGCCCAGGGCTTTCCCTCACATGACAATCCCACATGAAGCCTCCTCCTTGCTCAGCCATCAGGAAAGAGGCAAGCAAAGCTCCATGATTTGCTCCCATGAAGGCATCTTTATTTTTGAAACAGTGGAAGCAGGCTGACTTTATGCACAGTAAGGAAAACTCTCCAGAAATACTCCCAGTCCCCAGCATGGTCACAAAGACAGTGTTGTTCAGTACATCCATCCATGTGACAGGGAAGGAACTATCTCACAGAAAGCAAATTTGAAAAATTATCACCAAGTGATGATGTGCCATAAAAATCACACCTCCACTACATTGCGCTGGTTTATCTACCAGACTTGTGGCTTATCTAGGTAAAAAAGCCTTATATTCAGAATTTTGCATTTAAAGCAAATGAATGCAAGTTTCCATATTTACACTCTATTACGTTTCATACACACGCAGCTTTCAGCTGTATTTTTTTTTAAACTATCTTTACGGATCATAAGTTTTAGACTTGTGAAAATAATTCCCAGACAACAGAGCAAAGTAAGTTTCTTTTAGCTTAAGAATTGACACACACACACACAAAAAAAAAAAAGGCAGAGAACCTGAAACTAATTCGGCTTGAAAGGGACACTACTTAATTTTCAGAAAAAAATGCTGTTGTTTCAAGTATTTAGTTTCCAGAACACATTAATATAACAGACATTTTACCAGTATACTTCCTTTCTGCATTTCTTGATTCTTGACAGTCTTCTGCTTTGCTGTCATAAATGGGAAGGCAAAATTTAGATCTCCCCTGAAATACTTATGCAAATGTCTGTTATTTAAACAATGATTTATCATAACTGAGCCTGAATTAAATTAGAACGTTTAAACTGACATTATTTATCTGAACCCACACTAGCCAAGCTTTTAGCAAGGAATTTCCAGAGGGGCTCAGTGATAGGAATGAGTGCAGACAAAGAATGCTCTTGGTATACTCTGAGTAATTCCATTTCTTTTGAGATGCCTGTTGCTTCCACATGTGTCCTGCCTCCCATTCTGGAAGCTCTTTAAGCACAAAAGTTCATATTCCTCATGTTCATATACCAGATGGTGCCTAGCATCATCCACCCAATAAAGCCAAGAGTCAGTATCTCAAATAGCAAACACGAGACAAAATGCTGGGTGGAGAAAGGCCACAAAAACCTTGAAAGCAAAGACAAGCAGTTCAAAGTTCAATTCCATAGAGAATGGTGAGCTAACAAAAAGATTTCTGGAAACTGTTAACATCATAGTAATAGAAAAAGAACAACCCAGCAGCACTTTAAACATATGCTAGTGGGACAAAAAAAAAAATGTTTCTCCAGGGTCAACAAGAACTAGTGGGTACCAGTACCAGAAAGCGCCATAGGCATTCAGCTTGGTCCACATGACATAGCTTGCACCTAGAAATAAGTATTAAGGGAACACGGTTCTGCAAGCTGAAGTTAAGAAACATGCATCCATGCAATGTTATGCTGCAGTTACTGGAGTGAATTTAGCACATCTCTCCACTCTGCAAGCCTGTTTCTCTGTTCTGACTGCCTGCTTTGCATATGCTTTATTATCCCAGGGTTTTCATATCCAGGCTATTGCAACACAGTGAGTCTTCATTTTCTAAGTGGCAGCTTATCTCAGACAGTGTACGAAGCAGGATTTTAGCAAGGAAAACTTTGCTGGTGTTGCTTTACTGATGAACTGTAGTCACAAGTCATTCTTCAAGCCTGTATTGTCTAAACAGTTACACTAATAAAACCACAGTAACAATAGGAATTTCTTTTAGCACAGCTTGCAGTTAAAAGAATTACAAGCTATGGTGGCCAAAGGTTTGAGCACAGATCTGGCCTTAAGGACAGTCTGCAAGAAGTCAGAAGAGAAATATCCGAGATGACAGAAGTGTCCTACACAGTGACTGAGAAAAGGAGCGAGATGGAAGTTTGGGAGCGAGACATTAAGGCCAATGTTTCACCTGGATGCCGATATTGGACCAAAGTTCACCGCTGAGCCATAAAATGGCAGCAGAGTCCTGCAAGAGTGAGAATTAGCTCTCCAATTTTCCTTTTCCCTCAACTCTTATCCAAGCACAAGAGAAACTAGGAATTTCGACAACACTAATTTAGAAATCTCTAAGACAACACTACTGAAATATCTTCTAAGTTGCCCAAATATGGTGATAAAGCTTTGCCATAGCTGTAACTGGCTCCTTCACACAGTACACTCTTAGTGAAGGCTGAGAACACTCCACATTTATTTGGATTGCCATAAAATTTGGTGTGTCTCAGAAAAGTGCAAATCAGGTTAGCTGCTGTACTGTGAGACTAGAACTGCATTTCCATCTCCCATTCCCCCAAAATCTCTCACACACAAAAGGAGAATGAAAAAAAAAAAAGATGCTTTTTCCTCTTAAAATTGTCAGGTTTTACCTTTTTATCTAACCTGGTGATCAAACCCAGGTGGCTTCAGTCATTAAGATTAAACTCTAGCTAGCATGCTGTAGGGGACGTAGCAAGCCTTTTGGGAAAGTAATTTAACATTCAGAGAATATCAGCTACACAAATACATCTGAATGCTCACAGACCAAGTAGATTACACTGCTCCCTAAAGTGAATCTAAGAAAGCTACTAGACAGCATTTGCAAGGTTGTAACACTCCAGTACAGCCAGCCACCAGCCCTGATCAAAAACAGCAACCAGCAAGGATCAGTCTGAATCTATACTTCAGCTGAAGAGGAAGCCACATGGCTAAGGTCTTTTCCACCAAAGGACTTTATTTTGAAGTAATTCAATATGAAACTAAACAGAAAAACACTCTCAAGAAATATTCAAAACTATTTTAGGAAAGAAAGGAAGCAGCAGGAAATAAAAATACTGCAGTGACAACTGCTGGCCAGTGCCAGATTCTTTCTTTCCTGCCACAAATATGCCAGGAAAGATTTATATAATATTCCTAAAGTCACAGGGTAGGAGAGGCTGTAGTGAGAGACAATTAGATGTACCAGGATCACAGTCTAAGCCTTATGAAAAACAAAGGCAGCGATACCTACTGGAAAACACACACAATATGGGAATGGGACCTGGCTTAGATACAAAAAAGCCGACAGCTCACTTCACTACTGAAATTTGTCACTATTTTTAAAAGCATGATTCTGTATGGAGGTTGTTGGTTTGTTTTTTTTTTGGTTTTTTTTTTTGTTTTTTTAATTGGCCTTTAAAAAAAATCCAATTATCAAAATTTCATTACTGCAAGGGATTTAGACCATTAATTCACCTGATGTTTTGTTAGCACAATGAAACTGGAAGAGTTGTTTTAAAGCCTAATAGAATCTACCTGAATTAAGAGTTATAATCTCAACTTCAAAGTAATTCTTATCTAACCCATTCTCAAAACAGTAATCTGAAGAAATTTATCATTACAAAAGAAAGTTGCAAGAGCTAGTTAAAAAGAAAAACAACACAAAAAAACAAACCCCAAAACACAACAACAACAAAAACAAAAACAAAACCACACCCAAAAAAAACCCCAAAACCAACAACAAATCAAAAAACAGAATGTATGGATGCACAAAGACTTACACTTCCGTTCCATGTCTCTTATCTCTTCTGGAGGAATTTTCATCTTATCAATATGTTCTTGCAAGACACTGGCCCATTTCTGTAAAGACTCCATAACAGTCCAAGGTCTAGACATATCTGCAACAAAGACTACAATGGTGTCTTGCAGGGATTCTGCAGAAACTGCAAACTTCAATAGCCCTTTATGGTATAAGTCTCCATCTAGAATCCAAACATTACAGCGAGTATGATCTGAAAGAGAAAGGTACAGATGCCATTCAACAGATGCCAACTTTTTTCTTTGCTAGTCTGCAAGTGAACAGAGGAGTACATTAGTCTTAAAAGGAAGGCCAAAACCCAGCTACCAGCAGATCTTGCCTGTTTATTAAGACAGGTGCATGTGTAAATGCCTACATTATTCAGTAGATGCTTTCGTTTAACAGGATTTTTTTCCTTGGTTCAGTATCTTTTTGTTAGGGAAAAAAAAAATAAAAATCTGTTCTTTAGCTTTTACTAAGGACAGCTGGCACGACAGCTTTTAGACACTGCACAGCATTCCTGAATTTGAAAGATGTATATTACAGGTGAAACCAGAATACATGTGCCGTATGTAACTCCAAGTTCCAAAGGTGTGGTTATAGCCGAGTCCAGCAGGGAAACCTTAGATGTCCCTCAGACACATAAGCTGGTTTAACATACTAAAGACATCCCACAACAGAAATAAGCTGCAAACAAGATACAAGCAATAAGCAGCTTAGGCTTCTAGCACTGACCAAACCTTAAAGTTATGCTACCTGCTCTTAATTCACATTGGCCTCTACTTGCAGGCTCCTTACAGAATGAGTACTAGACAAACCATTTGGAATTTTAGGTTTTGTCTTTCTCCGCCCTCCCAGTGTTTTGGTAGCAACTGGATACTTATTTGCAGAAATGCAAAGCAGGGGGGTGGAAAAATCAGCTGGAACAGACAGCTGGCATGAAAAAAAATTACCCCAAACCTGAACTTTGGCAAGAATAGAAGAAACTGAAAATGAAGCATCAATTTGGAATGATCTATCAGGTCCTCTAAACAACCAATTCTGCCCAAATGAATAAAATAAATTACATTATCCTCAGAACTTCCTCCTTGAAACAAACAACTCCATTTGTTTCTATCTTCTAGACTTTTCCTAGCACTTCTTCCAAAGTACTCCTTATTCTACTACAGCTGTCCAGAGAGAACAGTGGGTCTCTATAGGTATTAAATACAAGATACATGAATTCTGATATGTGAATTCTGCAAACCAATCACTGCAGAGCACAGATTTTCAGACCAGCTACTGAGCTTCATCATTACTCTGCCTCATTATATTTCTCTTCCCTGTTCTCCAAATCTTAAAAATATAGTACTAGTTGTTCACGATTTGGCAAGGACTTGATGTCAAAATTCAACTTTGTCAGCACCACATTGAGACAAGGGGGGCACAAAAATCACAAAATGGAATATATAAACCTTTAGTATTAGTTTTAAGTAATGTTAAGTTTGATAGCTTTGTAACAGTAGCAATGGAAAATTACTGAGGTGCATGATACATAGAGAAAAAAAACAGCATGCAGCTAGAGAACATACTGAGAATTCTTGTACAAGATAAATCGTTATAGTTGACATAGTTGTAAGAAAAACAGTCTAGAAGAACAGGACACAGGGATAAGGAATATCTGGGAATGGCAGGTGTCCAAGATGGGCTACAGTTAAACTAACTGATAAGAAGGAGGACAGAAGGATTATTATGTCTCTGGTGCTAACGAACCAATTAAACTGGTATGATCATCTACTGCGCGTGCTTCAAAGGCTGCCAGAAGTGATGAAGATTGTTGGAAGAAGTAAACGATCCTCAGATACCACCACCACAATTCTGTACGCATGCAGGGAACTTTCTGGAAAATTATGTAATCCATAAGTAGCCTCATGAATATGTATGTATGCCCAGTGGCTATAAAAGAATGGCTTGTGTGGCAATGGGGAGACACACGTTAGGAGGAGCTCTCCCCCGTGTCTCCCAGCGCCGCAGTACCTGCTTGTCAACTTAAAACTTTGTTGGCGAGTTTGTTCCTGGAGTTTTTTCCGAATCAACATCAAGCACCTAGTTAGTCATATGTAAACAGTAACTGAACCTTTCACAGTGGCTATGACTGGAGACACCAAAACAGAAGCAGGTGCAACCTATTAAAGATTATTTCAATAGCTGCTAAAACAACATTTCTAAACCCTGTCAATATTTCATTACCCCTTTAGCCATGAAAGATTTCCAGCTTTGATGAATTTTACTGCAGAAGGCTGATTCTGTGAACTGCAACAACTCCTGCATTTATTCAAAAGGTATCAGTGGTAATTAGACAAGCCTTGTCTAAGCTGTGCAGAGAAGCACAACAGGGAAAAATAATTTCCAAGAAAACTACTTTAAAGATGTTGACAAAAAGACAATTTTCCCATTAGATACTAGTGTACCAGCAGCACTTAGCTCAATCTGGAACAACCAGTTCAACTGGAACATGCATATGACATGACTGAGGCCAGTCCAAATCTGAGGCAAAAAAAAAAAAGACTACTTGATTTTGTTACAAATAAGAACACAACAGAATGGCTCTACTTCACTGGCACATTTGGCACAGTCAGGACAGCTGTACTGCATTTGTAATCTGAGGCAGCTCAACCCAAAGTTCTCTGTGGTGGTTGGAATTGCCAGCTAACCCACATAGTAATGCTGCAAAACCAGTCAATGTTTGTTTCACTATCCTGCTGTACATCCTCACTTTAACTACTCTGCATGAGACTCTAAAAGCTACTCTAGAAACACATATCCTTTAAGAAAATTATGCAGAGCCTCTCTTCTACCTCCTACAAATTAAGATTCTCAGGTCTCAAAAGCAGACTTACCAGCATACATACAAAACATCTGCTCATCACAAAGACAGACAAAAAACTGAAACTAGCCACACTCGCTGAGAAAATCCACTAACAGGACTCTTGGGCCCGAGCTGCACAGTTTAACATTCCCAGTCAACTTTACTGTTTTTTCATCTAGATGAACTATGGTGTCACATAAGCAGAGGAAGCCATATGCTCCAAGGTTATCATGCCTGGGGCTAATGATCTAGGAGAATCATCTCTCAGAACTGCTTCTCAGGCATCCCCAAACCTCAACTTGAACAAATGTCTCACCCTAGGCAGAATTTAGGATAGTATCCTAAGGAGATTTTTCAGGTAGAGATTCAGTAGTGGACTTATTCTAAGTTATCCTGAGACCTAAGGAACTACTGCACACTACACTGAACAAACATCTAACAGAACTGAAACAGCTAGTTACCAAAACAGTGGTGATGTATATTTTGCCATCCAAGCTAGGTATCAGCCACTGTCAAGAAACAAGCAGATAACAGAAAGCTAAAACGTCAGTGTGCACCTGTATTAGCCACAGGGGTCCTTCATAAAAGAGGTGCTTTCCTTGCATTTAAGTTTCCTAAAAACAAAACAAACAAAAGAAACAATAACAAAAAAGCAACACCAAAAAAAAAAAACACACACAAAAAAAACACACACACACAAAAAAAAACAACCAACAACACAAAACAAGCAAAACCAAAACAAAATGTAACCACTGATCTAATCTTTAGGGGAAAAGACAAAAATAACTGTAAACCAAGATATGCACCTAGCAATCCAGAGTAATTCTACTTAAAATGTAGAATGAGCCAGATTCAATTATCTTTTGAAGAGGAAGCAGGGGGAGGATAAGAAACAATACAGAAGATTTTCCTCAACATTTCCAAAGGGAGGTGGGAGGTAGATAATGACTCAGCACTATAAACAAAACATTTCTCCTGGACAGAATAAACCCTTCTGAAATGAACAAGAAAAAGACAAAGAGAACAAAGAAATCTTCTAGCTCTTGGGAAAGAGGCTGGAAATATCTCACCCCACTACAGAGTTTCAGTTATCAGTGTAAATTTGACACCCCTGGAAATCCTTTGGTTTGCTGGTCTTGAACAGGTTGGAGTATAATGAAAAGCAGATATCCTCATAAATGAACATGTGATAGTAAGCTCCTGAATGCCTATCCTGAGTTTCTTTATGGCTTCCAAGAACTGTGGGTCAGTTCTACAGGTTTTGTTTCCAAACATGTATCTAAACAGAGTTTAAAGAAACAAAACCAAACCTGTCCCAGAGAAGGAAGAGTGCTGTTGTTACCTGCTGGGAGGTCCTGACCCACTTTGCTATTTATTTTGTTTGCTGATGACAAGAATGAAACAGAAATGAATGTATTATTAGATCCTAACACATCCATTAAAGGGATGCATGAAGACCTGAATTCTCCATCTGAGTCTGGTAGTCAAAAACGTCTTTTTTTTTTTTTTTATTCCCCTGCTAGTGCTGCCTGAGTTCTTATGACAGGATTCAAATACTCATCACCTCCAGATACTCAGGAATAGCCCCAAAATGTTTCCAAAGAAGGGACATACTTGAGGTTTGATTTCACCAGGAAAAATAGCATGCCAAACATTTTTCGGTTTATAATACCATCTCCTTTGATGTTTCAAGAAGCCTGATGTCACAGGCTGCCTTAACACTTCTTCTAATCATAGTGGGTTTTTTCCCTGAAGTATTTTGCAGTATTAAAGAAGCTTGTGCATGATGAGAAAGTACTTACGCCAAGAACGGCTCAGCACTTAAAGTTACAGCACAAGATATTTTTAGGAACTGCAAGATTAGGTGGCCACTGAAGACACAGGCAATGTACTCATCCTTTCATTGTGCCTTAGTATCCAAAAGCAGTTTACTACCATGTGAGCACAGGACCAATCTCCATAACAACCAGTCATATATGGTACTTAATCACTCCTGCAAGCCTTCAGTACATTTCCATTTCCAGAATACCATTATAGGATCTTCCTAGTTGATGTGTTTTCAGGAACATGGATGAACTGCCATCACTGCTTCCCTCTTCTGAACTGAAAGCTCAGAGGGAAGTCATAAACAAGATTGCCATTCTCTGTTTTTAAAGACAAAATCTAGCACAAAATTGGTCCCAGCCATTTGCCCAAAATGAGACAAGCAGAGGCAGATTTATGAGCAAGGAACTCGCTCCCCCCATCTCTTCCTGTCCCTAACCTTCCTAACAATAAAGGTATTCTGATCATCAGACCTGCTTTTAAACAGTGTCTTCTTGTCATCCCTCTCCCATATAGTAGAGAAGAGCAATCATCAACAGCAACAAGCACAAAAGCAAGGGGCAAAGAAACAAGCTTCAATTTGAGAAAAGGAAATACTAATTTTGACTTTAAGTATTGTTCTTCACTCATTCAACTCTAACAAAACATCTCAGTTATAGTTAACCAAAATTCTGCTCACAGCCCCCGCAAGGAAACAAAACTCCATGCCCAAAAATCCATAATGGAAATTAAATTCTTATTAATGTATCACTTACTTCATAGTTATCAAGTAGCCATACCAAATGACAATATATCTGCTAGTAAGTCAACATCAGCAAATGTATCTACCCTAAAAGTAAATGGATCCCGAGAGTTGCTCAAGTGTACTTTTCCCTCATACACAGGTCAAGCTGTAAGAAGGGCAAGAGGAGAATGTACACTGAAGACAAAACACATTTCACTTTTAAGAAACTGATACAGCTTCTAAAAGATACAGAGCAATGCTGGAACCAGCTACTTGGTGCAACCCAATGTACACTGATGAAAACACAGTTATTAAAAAAGCATATCAGTTACATAATTACAGTAAAGAGATTGCATATAAAAAGAACTTACCATCTCTGTCTTCATCATGAATATTTAGATACAAGTATTCCAGCCCTCTTCCTTTCTTGCCATGCTCTGCTCCCTGTATTTTGGTCATAAGTGTGGTTTTACCTGAGCCATCATCACCTTCCAGTAAATTTTTACAGAGGAAAAAAAAAGATAATTTTTTTCAAATCATTAAGCAACCAGAAGTATCCTTGTACATTTTCAGATCATACTTGTTATTTTCTTTCAAGTAATCCAGCTGAATCCAACAGCTTATACCACAACAATAAGAATGAAGCACTCAATTATTCTCTATTATCACAGAATGGTCTGGCCTTGAACACTGTTAGGGATAGGGCAGCCACAGCTTTTCTAGGCAACCTGTGCCAGTGCCTCACCATCCTCACAGTGAAGAGCTTCTTCCTAATATCTAATCTAAACCTACCCTCTGTCAGTTCAAAGCCATTATTACATATATTTAAACAATTGGAATGTAAACTGAATGTTATAAATGTCACAGTGCAAACCAAAAAGAAAGTAGATCTATCAATCTGAAGACAATAATAGCATAGTTCACATTGCATAACCTAATTTTAACAAACTGAGATGTCAGTTTGTTCATATCACTACTTTAAACACCTTTATTTCTACAAATAAACAACCCCCAACCTGCTCACATGTGTTACTTACCAAAAACGAGAATATTCTTGCCTGATGGCAACTTAGATCTTGACCGGGTAGAAACTTCTCTCAGTATTGAGGACCTAGAAAAACAGCATCACTGTTGTTAGGCTGATGTGTACACATGCAAACCCAAACACAACCCACACAACTGCCTATTTGACAGCACTGATGAGCTTATCAGATCCACACAGACCAAGCCAGTTACATTCAAACTATTTACAAACTGGAAATGATGCTACAGTTAGAGATTTAAGTTCATTTTAAAAGACCAAAAGTAAGCCACCTTTTTAAAAGAAAGCTTTACGTTTCTAAAATGCATGCAGTAACGTTTTTCTCTGGTTGTTAAAGGCCACATTACTTTCCAACTGATAACTCCTCTCACAATTCATTACTGTATTTTACACACAGCTTTTTCTGTCATTATTAGTGTTTTCAAAAGTGTCACTCAGAGACAAGCGACAGGAACACGAGAGAGCAAGTCTTGTGGAGCCTATCCCGCAGATCCACACCTCAGGCACTCCGCACGCGTGCGCCCCCCACCCTGGCAGCGATGATGTCTTATTCCCGAGGGTGTGGGGTTCCCTCCAGAACCGGGAAGGGCAGCATTCCTCATCGGCCCTGGCGCCTGGGCCGACCTGCGCCGTGGGTAGCTGCCGCGCAGCTCCTGTCAGCAGGGCTCAAGCGCGGCCCGCAGCCGGCGCCCACAGACCCCCTACCCAGTCGGGCGGAGCGAGGGCTGAGGCAGCCCAGAGAGACCCCGCCGTGACGCCCGAGAGCAGCCTCTCAGCTCCACCGCCGGGGTGGCGACGACCCCAGATACCTCCCCCCGCGGGCATTCACCAGAGGTTCTGCTCCTCCTGCTCCTCCTGCTCCTCGCTGGGGAGCTCAGCACCGCCAAGCCCATCCAGACCCACCAATTTCTTCTCCACGAGGACTGGCACCATCTTGCCAACTGCAGCCACAAAGAGTGACATCACACAGAGCCGCAAGGACCCAACTCCTCCCAGTCCCACCCTCCAGCAACGGCGCACCGCGCAAACCTGTCGTCACTTCCCACCCTCGGTAGCCATGCTGATTTCCGATCAGGCAGAACACAGGCAGCCCGGATAGCGCGCTGGGCTGTGCCTGCAGCGGCGGCGAAGGGGTGGGGCCGATCACCGCCGGCAGCGCACCCTGGCGCCGGGGAGGAGCGCGCTCCACTGCTCCCTACAGCCTGTTGTGCTGGGTCGCTCAAGCCGCCTAAAAATGATATTAATTATTCTTATGCAATTATATTTTCATGATGCCCATTATGTGTGGATTTCAAAGCATTTCATGCAAGAAAATAAGTATCAAGATTGTACAGGCACTCAAAAAGAGAGAAAAAGATTAACTTGCACAAATACACACAACAGGTTTTTGCTCACTTTAGACTATGACTCTTCCCTTCTGGATTACACAATAATTTTTTAACAATGCTGTTTTCAGCAACTGGCATGACGAGACTAGCTAAAACACCAGAAAAGGTGCTGGGTCCTGCATTTGGGCCACAACAACCCCATGCAACACTACAGGCTTGGGGAAGAGAGGCTGGAAAGCTGCTTGGTAGAAAAGGATCTAGGGGTGCTGACTGGCAGCTGGCTGAACATGAGCAAGCTTGTGCCCAGGCAGCCAAGAAGGCCAACGGCATCCTGGCCTGTATCAGATATATCGCAGCCAGCAGTGCCAGGGAAGTGATCTTTCCCCTGTACTTGGCACAAGTGAGGCTACACCTCAAATCCTGTGTTCAGTTCTGGGCCCCTGTCCTGAGTTCAGCAGTAGCAGTCATTTTTTCTCCTTCTTAGTAGCTGGTGCAGTGCTGTGATTTTGACTTTCAGCCAGGGAACAACGCTGATAACACCCATGTTTTTAATTGTTGATAACTTTACTCTGACCAAGGACTTTCTGAGTCTCATGCTCTGCCAGGGAAGAGGGGAAGTCGGGAGGAAGCAGAGGCAGGACACCTGACCCAGACTAGCCAAAGGGGTATTCCATACCACAGCATGTCATGCCCAGTATATAAACTGGGGGCAGTGACTCGGGAGGGTGTCGTGGTTTAAGCCCAGCCGGTAACTCAAAACCACACAGCTGCTCTCTCACTCCCCTCGCTTCCTCACCCCACTCCTGGAGGGATGGGGAGGAGAATCCAAAGAATATAATTCCCACAGGTTGAGATAAGAACAATCCAGTAACTAAGGTATAACACAAAACCACTACTGCTACCACCAAGAATAATAATGATAAGGGAAATAACAAGGGAAGAGAATACAACCACTCACCACCCGCTGACCAATACCCAGCCCAACCCAAGCAGCAATCTAGCCCTTCCAGGGTGTGGCATTTCATGACATGGACTCCAGTTGACGCAGAGACTCAAATCCTCGTTTATTACCACCAAGCCCTTTTTATCCCCTTGTTCCGTACTTTCCCAACCTGCACATACATACAACGTTCAATCTCATTGACCCCTGTAAAACTCTCCAGGTAAATAGTCTAATCACAATGCTACAGACCCTCTCACAACCCCCACATCCTCTGGTCTTCAACGCCCCAGCTCATCGCCCCAGGGCTTGTCAAAGCACCAAGGCCTCAGAGCTCATTCTCAAACTGTTCTTCATGCAAATCTTATTGCCTTCACTCCCCACACCAGGGCATTTTACTAATATGTCCTTCCTGTCCACAGTTAAAACATTTTTGCTGATACATATTAAGTTTTAATAATGCAGCAGCCAATACAGAAGCCTTAAGAGCCTCTGTACTGATATCCTGACATGTTTTAATAAACTCAGCAGTGTCTGTATATTTTTCCCTGACTGGAGCTAAAGCAGTTTTGCAATCTCCATTTGTATTTTCATATGCTAGCTGAAATTAAAGTGCACGAGCAGCCTCAGGATTATCAATCTGCCTTTGTATAGCGTTGTCTAACCGGTCTATAAAAGACACATAGGGTTCCTGAGACCCTTGGCAAACAGTTGCAAAATAAAGTTTTCTTTCCTGATCCAGGTACTCACCTCCAGGCTTGTAAAGCCATACAGGTGGCTTCCTGGAATACCAGAGGGTTTAAATTAATTTCATCATGAGGTTGCAACCATTGCCCAGAGCCTGTTAACATATCAGCATCTGTTGGTATTCCTCCTTGAACATTATCTAATACCTGTAAAGCCGCTAAGTCATTGTATTCCAGTCTCCACACCAAGTATTGAGCAGGTGTCAAAATCGTTCTCATTAAAGTGTTCCAGTCCCATGGCACCATAGATCCTGAACTAGCCATCATTTCTAGCAGACCTAATGTATAAGGACTTTGAATTCCATTTTCCATCACTGATATTTTTCAATTCCTTAAATACTGAGTACGGAACATTTTCCTGTACCGGTTGCTGTTGTCCCTGCTGTCCCTGCTGTCCCTGTTGCCCATCTGTTATATAAAATACAGGAAAAGTGAAAGCCATGTCTTCAGTAAAATCACCATCCTCTATCGCTTTCCCCATATGTCCTGGGTTCAGCAGTAGCAGTCATGTTTCTCCTTCGTGGTAGCTGGTGCAGTGCTGTGTTTTGACTTCCAGCCTGGGAACAGTGTTGGTGAAGCCAATGTTTTCGGTTGTTGCTAAGCGATGTTTACCCTGACCAAGGACTCTGTGAGGCTCATGCCCTGCCAGGGAGGAGGGGAAGCCAGGAGGAAGCAGAGACAGGGCACCTGACCCAGGATAACCAAGGAGGTATTCCATACCACAGCACGTCATGCCCTGGGGTGGGGGGTAACTGGCAGCTACCCGGAAGGACACAGGCTTCTGGGTGGGACTCATTTCTTGGCCGGTGGTATCGTATTCTCTTCCCTTGTTATTTTCTCTTATCATTGTTGTCCTTGGTAGTAGTGGTGGTGATTTGTGTTGTACATTGGTTGCTGGACTGTTCTTGTCTCAACCCGTAGGAGTTGCACCCTTTCGATCCTCCTCCCCGTTCCTCTGGGAGCGGGGAAAGGGAGAGCCCCGGTGGGGGCGGGGGGGACCCTTGACTGTTCTCAGCCCGGCACCACTCACTGGGAGTGAGTGAACAAGTTGCCTGACTGGGTTTAAACCACGACACCATACATTTTTGTTTAAATGTTTTAGTAGCCTTCTGGTTAACTAATGGATGGTCAAATGGTTCTTTATCAAGATCAGCCAAGGGAGGTGTGATAGGTTGAGGAGCATGAGGAATATTCAATGTGAATGCCTTTAATGGTGTCAAAGGTGGGTATGAATTTTGCTTCTTTTCTGAATTTACAGATCCAGAATCAAAAGGATCATCAGGCTTCTCAGAAAAGATATTTTCATCATTCTGTCCTTGCTCTTTCAAATTGTCAGTATTTTTGATCATTTGTTTTATCACGTTTCTGAATTATATTCTCAACAGGTTGTAAATTAGATAACACAGAAAAGACAAAATGCCATGTCACTATTAAATCATCAGGAACCTCCATACCAAGGCGACTTTGAGTCTGTAAATGTTCTCCCACTCTCTCCCATATCCGAGTATGAAATGACCCTGTTGCTGGAAACCATTTGCAATTTGTTTTCACCCATAATAAAAGATTCATTACTTGCTTCTCAGACAAATGATATCCAGAAGATTTTAGAATTTGCTTTAAAACTTTCAAATAATTTCTGTTCAGCTGATTCTATTTGTCCAATTTTTCTAACACAATCCTGTAATTCCCCATTCAACAGGCATTACTGACCTTTAACAGGCAAATGTTGGTACCAGAAATTCCCTGTTGGATCGCACGGGCACCGCAATGTTGAGCAGTTTAGCTACCACACACACAGGGCACCATTCGCAGTGTCTGTAAAGAAAGAGGCCAAACACACACACACACACACAAACACAAACACACTGCTTTCATAACTAGTTCCACTTTATTCACTCAAGCATGGCAATATATAGCATACAGATACGGGTCGGAGCCATGAAGCCAAACAGCAACTACATCATTCCCAGTGACTGGTTTCAGTCACTATAAATTCCATTCTATAAACAATCACTTCCCAGGCTGCTTCCCAGCCTGACCTTGCACCCAAGCACTCCCTGGCTTACTCAAGACCCAGGTGCACTATCAGCAATTACTCTTCTTTAATTATCCACATAGCAGGAACAGGACAGCTTGCAGTTCCCACGTTCAGGTTCCTTAGATGATCTTGAACCTGATCCTCCCCTACAGTGGGCCTGGGGTCTTCATTCTCACAGTCCCTGCATCTGCCTTCCAAGACTTGGGCGGTGTGGTCAGAGGACTTGCTGGTGAATAGTGAGGCAAAGAAGTCTTTAAGAACCTCAGCCTTCTCCAAATCCAGGGTAGCCAGTTCTCCCGATAGCTTCCGGAGAGGACCCACGTTTTCCCTAGTCTGTCTTTTGTTTGCTACATACCTATAGAAGACCTGCCTGTTTTCTTTCACATCCCTTGCCAGACTCAGTTCCACATTATATAAGCTTCTTTTTTCCCTCAAAGTTTTCTCAGCAGCTCCTTATCCATACACAGAGGCCTCCTGGCCTTCCTGCCCTGTTTTCTGCTAGTTGGCAGGTAACACTCCTGAGCTTGGAGCAGGTGATCCTTGAATATCAAACAGCAGTCTTGAGCCCCCCTGCCCTCTAGGGCTTTATCCCATGGAACCTTACTGTCGTGGTTTAAACCCAGTCAGGTAACTTGTTCACTCACTCCCAGTGAGTGGTGCCGAGCTGACAACAATCAAGGTCCTTGTCCGTCTCCCCCCCCCCCTTGCACCGGGGCTCTCCCCTTCCCCGCTCCCGGAGGAACGGGGAGGAGGATCGAGAGAGTGCAACTCCTACGGGTTGAGACAAGAACAGTCCAGCAACAAATCACCACCGCTACTATCAGCTAAAACAATGATAAGGGAAAATAACAAGGGAAGAGAATACGATACCACCGGCCAAGAAAACGAGTTCCACCCGGAAGCTCCTGTCCTTCTGGG